CACTTGCTTGGGAATTTTTCAGAACTTTAATAAGATGAAATACAAAATTAACAAGTCTTAATCTGATTGCTTTTCTTTCTTTCTTTTTCATAAAACAGGACATTTTATGCACAGCCTACAGATGCCTTAAAATTTTGAATGACAACATTTGATTTAGAAATTATAATCTCGTGACTACCTAGGGAAAAATTTATAACTTTAATTTATCCATAAAAGTAAAGCTTACCTTTCTTATCCACACTATTCCACTTTTATTTGAGAATAAAAAAATAAAGAAATAATTTTGTGAAGAACTCTTTTGTGATGAATTATTTATTCTGCTTCCTGCGGATGGGACTTTAGTTCACAGAGTATTGTTTCAAACTTTATCTACATAATGGGATTGTTTATACCATAATGATACATTTGAAAATTAAGTGTAGAGATCATATAACACTAACACATTTATATCTCATTCAAGTATTGGTAGTTTTATATATACACCATGGCAATTAGAGCAAGTGGGAGGCGGAGCGATAGCACAGCGGGTAGGGCGTGCCTTGCATGCTGCCGACCCAGGTTCGGTTCCTCTGTCCCTCTCAGAGAGCCCAGCAAGCTACCAAGAGTATCCCGCCCGCACAGCAGAGCCTGGCAAACTCCCCATGGTGTATTCGATTTGCCAAAAACAGTAACAAATCTCACAATGGAGATGTTACTGGTGCCCGCTCTAGCAAATCGATGAACAATGGGAGGACAGTGCTACAGTGATAAACCATGACAAATAATGAAAATAACAATGGCCTAAACAACAGGAAGACAATAATTCAAATCTTGATTCTACTACAGCTTTGTGGCTATTTTTGGAAAATATTCCCTTGTCACATTTTTTTAAAGATGAAACAATACTTCAATTTTAAAGTAATGTAAGTACAAGCAAGTCTTTACCCCTATTAAATTTCCAAGCATCATACCCAGCACACATTCAGTAGAGATAAACACTTTGACTTTTTTCTCCTTTTCTTTTCTTGTAATAGTTCCTGTTTTTCTGTCATAACTAAATTTTAACACATAGTCAATCAAGAATGTTACTTATGGTGGATTTTTTCAACATGTTTCAAAAATATAATATCAAAGGAAAGGAAAAATATAATGAAGGCATATCTGATTAAATTTCATTGCACTTGCCATTTCACAAAAGAATGCAGTGTGCTAGACAGAGCTATTACGGCATATTTTAAGTTAATGTTTTAATTAACATTTTCAATTTTATGTGTAAAACTGTATCTATTTGTCATCTGGTGTCTCTCAGGAAGCTATTACTCTTTGAAACTGCAGTAATTCAAAGGAAATGTTTTTAAAAGGAGATAAAACATACACGAGACTAGTAAGATACCATCTACTTTTAGTTATAGAAGTAGATCAAGTAGATCCAGTGATAAAATTGTTAACTCTTTCCTGTCTTATTTAAGTCAAACTCAACTTTCAAAAGGATTATTGAAGGGTTTCTTTTTTCTTTTAAATATAAATAGATCATTTCCTGTGACCTGAGAGGTATTAAGGCGTAAAGGTCCTCGAGCACCACCAGGAGTCATCCCTGGGTAAGGAACCAGCAGTTCTTTACACACAGTTCTTTTCAGCACAGTGAGTGTTGACCAAATCTGTACCACTCTCCCCCCCACCCCGCCCTGCCCTCCCTTCCCCCTCCAGCTTAAAGGTAAAAGGTAAAGGCCCTCCCGTTGATGGACCATTTGCTCGAGCGGGCCCAGTAACGTCTCCATTGGAGACTTTGTTGTTACTGAAAATATCACTTCCTAAACTAAATCAGTTCATGGCAAAAGACTTGTTCTTCAATTTTAAGATTTCCAAATGAATGAATTCTTTACCAAAATTTATCTTTAACATAGAATGGTTGCTGTTTAATGTTCTCAAGGGTTCAAAACTATACTTATGCTAATGAAAAGATATCACCACAATATTGTATGCCTGACAAATAAAATATTCTCAAATTTTCTAAGTATAGTGATCTTGCTCTTTTTCTTTTTTAAGGACTAGAAATAGAAAACATGACAAATGTTATGCCACAATTTCTTATCACACATTAATAGAAGCAAACGTCCTATTGAAGTTGGGTTAAAATAATCAATTTTAACGTTTGTTTGGGAGGGGGGTGATTCAGATAAGAAGGCACAGTTTTTATTTTGAACTGTCTTCAATTTCATCTGAAAGGAAAACCAAATTGCTTAGAGAAGATATTCCACATATATTAACAAGGTGAATAACAGGCTTCAATTTAGCCCAAGTGATGTAATGCTGGAGTACATTATAATCTGACCATATAAGACGTATCGCAATAATGATTCTATGCATAATAGTTTTTATATTTCTCTAGTTTATTTTCAAAAACAAAAGAATGACGTTTTCATTAAAAATATATTCAGCCCACACTTTACTGTCCTAGTTACTGGTTAGTATTTCTCATTTATCTATTTACAATTAGAAGATCCTTTACTCCTTGAACTCTGAAGTTCACAATATTAATCATCAAACAAAGGTGTGCATATCTTAATTTTTTTAATATATGCTCTAGTTAGAAAGTAGATTTTTACTATGAAATGCAGAATTGATAATTTGAATAGCCAGAAATTATCCATGCAGGTCTAAAAGAAGAGACAAAATTTTCTCTCAACAAGATATTTCTAAAAAATGTTTAATTCAGGAGGGTTAATCAAGACATTTTAAAGCCTGTTCTTATACAATGAAATAAATTTAGCAATTTCTACAACAAGTATTATTTGCTTAAGTTAAAAAGTTGAAAATGTACATATTGAAGATAAAAATCTCCTCCTAATCAAAGTAAATGAAAGCAACATTTCTTAGGTTTTCTAGCTATGAATTAAGGTTATCGTATAAGGAATTTTTTTAGTAAAAGTTACTATTTTAATAATCAATATAACTATAAAATTAATATGAAACTTTAAATTTTCATAGTTTTCTCTGAGCATTTTGACCTTGACCTTCTGAGAATAACTGCAATAGAAAAACAAACACTAAAAAAAAATTGAAGCTCAAAAAGTAAAGGCCATCTGCTTTACTTGCTCTATCTTAAAGAACAAAGATTAAACAAGCAAATTGAAACATCTTATTTTTCAAGGAAAGACTTTCAGAAACATTGTCGAGATTTAACAGGTTTTGCTAAAAAAAAATGCTTTTTGTATCCATGGAGCTGGGCATTTTATGCCATGATGAATGCTCATGATTCTGTAAATCAGAGGAAGAACTTTTCTAAATTTGTCAAACAAATCTTCCTTATTTTAACACCACTCATTTATTCACTCAGTGGATATCAAGCAACTCTTTAAACATTCAGTCCCACTAGCCTGTTATTATTTTTCTTTATGGAAAACTTTCTTGGCTTAAATCTATCAGCTCTTCACTCCCTAACCTCCAATGTGAGCTACTCAGAGCACTCTTGAAAGACTACAGCTCTATGGTCTCTCACTGTTGTCATTGAAAGTGCTTCTGTCTACTAATGTTTAGTAATCCAAAATACTTGCATAAAATTCTTTTGGTAATACTTAATAACTTCTACTGATTTTCAATGTAATAATTCTTAAGCGTAGTTTGTAAAGTTCTACTTTAATAATGTCCTAGCGAGTTTTTTTTAATTCTAATATTCTAAATACTAGTTATCCCATCCCCCCTTATTAATGTGCTGCTACAAATGTTTAAGGGGGGGTATGATTTCTGGTCTACTGTTCAAAAGGGTATTACAATCCAAAGAATTATATAGAAAATTATAAAATAAGAGCATTTCAACGTCTTAATCTATCCACCCACCATTACCCCTATTGTCTAAGGTTAAACATCAGACTAAAGAGAGCGGGTGTGGCTATCTTCATTTCCCATTACCAAAAAAATAAATAAATAAATAAATCAACATTAGTTAACCTTCCATTGTAAAGAATTTGTGACAGGCTTTCGGTGGTGATTCCCAACATGGAAAAGTCAGGAACTAAATGAGACCTTAGTGGTGGTGGTTGTAGTTTAAGTTTTGAGGTAAGTTCTTAATTTTCTTTTTACAAGTAAAACCTTGCTTCTACCTCCTTCCACTTCTTGGCTTGGTGCATACTCAGTAAGCAACCTGCTGCATTGTTTAGCTGTGGAACTGAACCGGGAAGGGCCTCCTTAGGAGACCATGTGAGCAAAGAAAATAAAGTCTCTTCCACACAGCGATTGCATAGGACAGAAGCGCCCACTTTTCTCCGTCGCTCCCAAACCCGCTATCCCTTTCCAATAATCTTGGATCTTGCCGCAAAAGGCAGCCGAGTTCTCAAGTGGAACAAGTTGTGCTATAAATTTTAGTGATTCGCCCAAGTAGCAAGCGGAGTCAATGATTTCACCAGAATTATAGTCGCCAAGAAAGCGAAGAATCCCTAGCCCCGGTCCAGTAACATGGATAAAAGTGTCCCTGTTTCTTGATAGAAAATAAAAATGACGCAGAGTGCAATTGATGGAAGGAATATTTACCACTCTCCTTCCTCTTGCCAACCCTCCCCCCCACCCCTCCCCAGCTCTCCTCCCGCTCAGTTTAGGAATCCGAGAATCTAGGGTTTACTGATACAAGCCCTTGGGCCACCAAGAGCTCCATTTTCCCCAAATGCATAAAAGGCTAAAAACAGCCTCCCTCCACAGCACCCTGGCGTTGGCTGCAGCTGCTTTGTTTACCATATAAGTCACACCGGGGCTTCGTTCCTCGCCCTCTCCCCTGCTTTAGTGCTGGGTGAGTGAAAGGTTCAGACTCGTTCCCAAACTCAGGCTCAGCCGGGTCGACCACGGAAGAAAGCTTAGCAAACCCGCTCCCCAGGTTTAAAGAGAACCCGAGCCATCCGAGCCTTAGGAACTCGCTACCCACCAGGGATGTCCGCCTCCTAGAAAAGGAGCCGGCTTGCCAGGCAGTTGGAGAAACTTAACCGAGATCCCAGAGAGGAACGAGGGGCAGCCCCCGTCGCAAGGAGCTTTACCTGCAAAGTTGCAATCTTCAGCTGGAAGATCCTAGGACCCGCGAGAGGCTGTTCAACGGCTCCAGCGCTCGGCCCGCAATTCCAGCGGGGTTCTTTTAGTCGCTGCGGAGTTTTGGAGCATTCCAAGGAAAACGCACGAAGCTGGAGTCCAAGCAACTGGCACAGAACTGGGCGGAGTGAGGATGCTCGGAGAGCTGCGCCCCGGGGAGCGGGGGAGGGGCGGCCCTGGAGGGGGAGGTGAGCCCGGGGGTAGGAGAACTCAAGCCCAACCCTGACCCTCCAAAGCCTCGGGAGAAAGTTCTCTTTCCCACGGGCGTTGTGCGGGAGCCCAGGACCAGGCTCCCCGCCGATCGTCCCGGGCAGCTGCCGCACTTGGGGTCCGCACAGACGCGGCTGGGAAGGGACAGTCCCTGAAGATGCGCGTCCCACGCACCGTTCTGCTGGGCGGTGAAGGGGACTCGCGCCCCCGCAGGAGCTGACGCTGGGTCCCCGCTACGGCTGTCCCCGAACAGCCTCCGCCTCCCAGGGCCAACTGCTTGGAGCAGCCAGTTGGGCATGCGAGCTCACCCCCAGCCAGGCATCAGCCACTCAAGTCGGGTGCCTGAGCCCACCCCGAGGTCCTGTGCACCAACCAGACACACCTCCAGACTCCGGGCTCTCCCAGGAGGTCCGACTCCAGTTGGCTTCCAGACGGGGGCGGGAGGGGGAGGGTTGGAAACCGGGGGTGCTCCCACTCAAGTAAACAAGCACGCAGGCTGCAGGTCGCTCGACTTGAATCAAAGTCACCCCCTACCCCCACCTTGTAACTCTGCAAGCGTCTCTCGCGGTGCCTCCTCCGGGTTCCCGGCACCCCTTCTCCTGTCCTCAAGGTGTCAGACTTCCCCTGCAAGAGCAGGAGCCTGCGGCTCGCCGCCAGTGTCAACAACGGAGACGGTGGCAATGAATAAATGATGAGGCTCTGCGTTCCACCCACCCCCACCCAGTACCAGCTCGCTCTTACCCACAGGCACCGGGGAGCAGGAAGTTTCCAAATGGAACCCCAGAGGCAGAGCGGCCCCGGAGCGCCAGGGCTGGAGGCTTTGGTGGCTGCAGGTGGCGATCGGATCGCGTGTGTTTGTGTGTATGCGTGTGCGCGTGCGTGTGCGTGTGCGGGTGTGTAATGATCACTTCAGCGTAAGAAGATCTCCAGCAGAAAAAGTTTCCATCGGACCCACCTCTGCGGTTCGCACGCCGAGAAGATTAAAGCGCGGGGAAGAAAAGATGTGCGTTGGCCACGTTGCAGTAACTCACCGGAGCAAGTGACTGGCCCGCATGTCACTCACCGAGGCTTGGCTGGTCACGACCCCTGTACCTGAGAGTTGACTAGTAAAACAGCGAGAGGCGTCCGTGTGGAGTCTTAGGGACGATCGATCTGCAGAGCTCAGCGTGTCTCCTAGATTTCTTTTCTTGCACAGAAGCCGTCAGATCTGCTGGTCGCGGTAGCATCTCTGCAAGATGCCTGCTCCGGGTTGGCGCTAGTGCAACAGATGAGCAGCGACCTTTGCTCCCTTTCCAGGCGCTACTCTGCTTGCCTCTGGGAGTCGGTGCTGTGCTGACTTTGAGGAAGACCAATTTCCTCCCCAGAAATATCCCCCCCCCCCACCCACCGCAGGGAGTCAGGGATAGAATGCACTTGTCCGCAGACTCCAACACTCAAAAATTATGCATCTTAGTGATCTATTTTGTTTGTTTCAGTATTTACGAGATTCTGGAGGATCATCCACTGACATGTCAGGCAGGCTGCTCTTACCCACCCATTTAAATCACAGTTCTTGTTTTTAAAGTTATGTCTCTTTAGGGTGCTGCGGTTTTTTCCATGGGATGGGGATAAATCCAGTTCTAAGTTTATACTCCTGTTCTAAACGCTTAGATCACTAACTCTAGGTCAACCCTTCAAAATACACTGTGGTGTTTTGTGGTTAAATACTAGCTCCTTTGATACCTTCCCAGAAAACATAAAATGACAACAAATGGAGTCCTTTCTTTCCCTAAATCTCTTTTACTCTTTATTTATCTCAAAGTTGCATTAACATCTTTGTTTTCTTAATACCCATGACTTTTTAAAATATGCAGAAGCACATCTATTTGTTCACAGTTCTCTTTCCACGCAACAAGGGAAGTAGGACAATATGTATGAAAACTTGCTAAAAACAATGCGACTGTAATTTTTAATGAAATAACATATTTCCATTAATCATCAGCATTATTTAATGCTTAAAAACAAAAGGGAAGCTAACATTCCTCAGACCATGTTTTGTTTTGGTCTGATGAGCAACAATACTCATTAGACTGAACAATGAGCGAAAATATTATGTTTGAATTATGTCTTTAAGGATAAAATTCTTTAGAAAATTACATATTGAAGTTTCTATCTTTGTAATCCGTTTAAGGAAAGTGGATCATAGACAATAGATAGGCCCAGATTAGAGACTAAGACCTTTACTTTGCAGATTTAGCTTTTGAATCAATATATCCCTCCTGCTGTTCTTAGGATTTGTTTATTTTAATAAATGACATCTATGTCATAATGTTAGTGAGAGCCATTTTGTTTGCTTCCCTGATTTGTTACTTTTTTCCAATAAGAAATGTGCTTTGAATTTACAAAACAGAAAGGAATTACAAGCAGAGCTAACTGGGTAACTGTGTTCCCATGGGAAGAAGAATGTTCTATGGATTTCTGAGGCTCATTTCCAATGGTTTCATGTGATTATTGATTAACAACCTTGCCCCACCTACTAAAATGGTTATTAAGTACAGGAAAGTTATTTGAAATCCATTTAAACACAGGAACTGCCTGTTCTCTAGCCATTAGTAATAAAAGGGAGAAGGGTCTGTTTTGGTTTTGTTTATGATTTTAAAATACAAAGCTGGCGTTATTCCACAAGCCTGCACTCTACTTAGAATTCATTGAAATTAAAGAAATTCATGATAAATGTTAAGATACTTAATAGAAATTTCAGTTTTATACCTGAGCCCAAAACATAAGAAAGTACTCTTGTTTTGAAATGAGCCAGAGACAAGTGGTCCAAGAAATGACAGAGCAATAAAACAATTCTTTGCAATACCTACTCATAGTTAAAATGTATCATGAAATAGGAAATAGAATACCTAGAAACATTTCCTGAATTTGTTTTCTACTACTTATGGATGAAAAAAGAAATATGAAGCTCTTCCTTCCCAAGCTTGTATATCTCAGATTTAGAAGCAGTTTCATAAAGAGGTATTTTAATTTTTGGTTTTGCCTATGCTTTGTCATTGAATTTTATGTGATGGTAATACTTGGTATAGAATGCTGCCATTAAAAGTTACTTGATAATGGCTTTTTTATTTTAGGCAAACTTGGGAAATACACTTCCACTTGTTTAGAAGTCCCAGTGACCTGTCTTCTACATAGGAGATTGGTTTTAAACCTCATTTTGCATTAGAACAAGACACTCTTAGCACTCACTAAGGAAGGGTTTGGCCTTCCTTATCTTACCTTTTAAACTATTGAACTAAGGTGCCTTTTGCTACAGGTTTTGACATTAAGGAATGTCATCGCTATCAATTATAAGTAAAGTTTTCATTTTTATGTAGACCATATTTTCAACAGTTTTTGTTGTTGTTGTTGGTGGTGGTGGTGGTGGTGGTGATTTTTAGGCCTCACTTGGTGGTGCTCAGAGCCACTCCTGGCTCTATTCTCTGGAATTACCCTTATGGTGCTCGAGTACCATAGGTGCACCTGGTAAACACCCTATCTGATAAACTATCACCCAGACCCTAGGACATAGGTTTTAAACAACTTTAGACAATAATATGGGGAGCCAGAGAGAGAGTGCAGCAGGCAGGGTGCTTACTTTGCATGTGGAAAAAACAAATTCAATGTCCTGCAATCCATATGTCCCTAAAACACCACCAGGAGTGGATAATCCCTGAGTGCAGAGTGAGGAGTAAGTTGTGAACACAGCAGGGTGTGGCCCCAAAACAAAATAAAGAAATAATTTTATGTTACTGATTTTTATTTACTAATTATTTTTGAGAGACACTGGAGTGATAGCACAGCAGGTAGGGCATTTGCTTTGCATGCCTCTGACCCGGGTTCGATTCTTCCATCCCTTTTGGAGAGCCCGGCAAGCTACCAAGCATTTTCTGCCCACACGGCAAAGCCTGACAAACTACCCATGGCGTATTTGACATGCTAAAAACAGTAAAAACAAGTCTCAAAGTGGGTAGGGCATTTGCCTTACACAAGGCCAACCCAGGTTCGATTCCCAGCATCCCATATGGTCCCATGAGCACCGCCATGGGTAATTCCTGACTGCAGAGCCAGGAGTAACCCCTGTGCATCACTGGGTGTGACCCCCTCAAAAAAGTGTCACAATGGAGAAGTTACTGTTGCCTGCTTGAGCAAATCGATGAACGAGAGGACAGTGACAGTGACAGTGTCCACTATTTTTGAAGCACTGTACATTTATACAAAATTCTTAAGGCTTGTAAATGTGCTTCTGTTTTTTTAGTATTATTCCATAGTCTAAAACTTTTTTGAAAGTCCCTGTACACATATTTCTGCCTGTCCGACTGATTTTGTCCTCAATAAAGACTGGCATATTAAAAAAAATATATATATACATGTATATACATATATATACATATATATGTGATTTAGGGAGCTTTGTTTTTACTTAACTGCACATTAATGAGGGCAAAACATAATTTTCTTTCTATATTTTGCTGATGTCCATTTTTAAAACAAAGTTTGAAAGCAAATAACTATTACTTGTCACTTGTCACTTGTCATCTCATTGCTCGTTGATTTTCTCGAGCGGCACCAGTAACGTCTCCATTCAACCCTGTTGCGTGCTAATGTAGCCCAGTGATGTCTGCACACTAGTGGATCACGAAGAGCATCAAACCGTTTGTTCAGGGTCTTGATGAAGAAGTCCAACCATTTCATAGGTGGGCAGCCAGGTTTTGACATCCCATGGAATCCAGTCGGTAATGGCTCTGGTTCAGCAGCCATCTCCAAATCCCATTACATGTCCGGTCCTTCAGATTTTCGACACTTTGGCAAACAAGGCAGCGTCCCTGATCCTAGATTGTCGACGGAGGTCGGAACTTCGGATTTCTTCTCTCACTTGAATGAAACGTGATACTCCAAGCATAGCTCTTTTTATTCCTCTTTGGGTGATCGAATAACATTCTTGTCCTGTTTTTGTAGGGTCCAGGTCTCAGAGGCATATGTTAGTGCAGGAAGAACGGTTGAGTCGAATAGATGTGCCCTGAGCTGGATGTTCTTCATCCTCTTAACAACTTCTTTGATGCTCTTGAAGGTGTTCCATGCAGCTCTCTTCCTCCTGAGCAGCTCTGATGTCAAGTTGTTCCTCATGTAGAGTTCTCAACCCAGGTACACATAACTGCTGCATTCGGAGATGTTTCTTCTGTTGAGAGGAAATGGAACATCAGGGACTGGTTCGTTTTTCATGGACATTGTCTTCATGAGATTCAGCTGCAGTCCAACCTTTCCACACTCATGCTCGAAGTCGGTCAGCATTTGTGCCGCTTGGCTAAATATTTGGTGTTATTAAAACAATTTGTTTTCTGTTACTGGTTATGAATAACATATGATGTCACGCGGCTGCAATAGTGGCCACGCGCTTTTGAAAT